TATAATTTACCTTTTCATCATTACAGTATAAGTCATTCATTTTTTTCTGCTTCCAAAAAGTATAAAAGTTACTTTGTTTCATATTTCTTAGCGCTCGCATCGATGGTCTAGTCAAGAGAGAAGAATCCCCCGAAGAGATGACGGAATCGTTTGTTGATCGCGACGATTTTCTTTATCACCGTCAAGTGACTTTTGGCAAGCGGGTCAAAAAATTTGGACCACAGGACAACAACGCAAGACCAATAGTGGTAATTAGGTCAATCAGTGATTATAGTTCACTCCACCTTTGGATCTGTAATTCTCAGTTTGTTCCACTTATTACGTCTTGGGTAACACTACGTGCTATACTAGAATCCATTTCGAGACTCTTATTCTCAAGGGAACGATACCCGTTCTGAAATGGGAAAACATCACGTCCAAGGCCGAGGTGTATTACTGACATTAGAGAGTTAAAAGATTCTCGTTTACGGCAAACGTGAAACGTCAGTTGACCATTAAAAAATTCTTTAAAATTAGTGAAAAGCAATCGCAAATACCTCCAAGTAGTAGATAAACAAAAGAATACTTGTCTTTATCGTGAAGGTTTGCGAAAGGTAAAGTGAAATGTAGGGAAACGATGAAAACGTGTTCACGTTTGCCGTTTGCGGGAAGGAAAAACGGAAATCTTAATCTGCCTATTAACTGAGTACTGCTTTTCTTTGTCCAGAAAATCGTTGAACGGTTTCACCGAAATGCTGCCAAACCAGCCCACGAAGACGTGGCTGAACGCGTGTTTTTGATCGCAGAGGAAAGAATCAACTTAACTTTTCACCTTGAGGATAACAGAGTGACTGCTTCTACACGGGAGTTCGTTAGACCACCACACACTGCAGAGAAAGGGGGCACACTAACCATGACTCCTGATATGACGACATCCTTTCAGGTTGGTAACAAGACATCACAAGTACAATATAGAGTGTCGTGCTATCCAGCGGTAAAGCCATGCGATGTTTCAGCTGTTGATGGTCTAGAAGTATGGTCCTGGATTGATCAATAAATGAAATGAAGAGCTTGGTTAATATGTTTAAAATGTTTACACGAATCATAATTGCTTGGCCTGTTTTTCCCCCGCAGGTGGATCCCCTGAACAAGCCTCCCAAGAACCTTAGAGTGTACAACATGTTGGTATTTCTTGTCGATGCTGAGGAGAAGAGTGTACAACAAGTTAGGATATCTGAAGAAGAGGTTCGTAGTTTTTTACCTGTTTGTCTAATTATTAACACCTTTTCTTCTATATACGAGATGTGAGATGTGCCTGGAGAAAGTAAGAGTATATAAGTGTAAATATAGAGGTTAATATTAATTGGTCAAAATCTTAGGTCAAAGAGATTTTACAACAAAGAATCACAGAAGAGGCTGCTCCACAGTTGTCTGTATCAGTGTATGACACAGAAAGAAACGTTAAGGCCAAACTCCACAGGGAAGACCTGGAGAGAAAACAGAGAGAAGAAGCAATGAAGAAACACGAGAGAGAACTGGATTATTTGGCACCGTTTTTGGCACAAATTGGTGACCCCCCTCGCATTAGCAAGTCAGAAGCATTTAAACTCAAAGAAGAATGTCTTCAAGACTTGAAGCAGCGCCTGATTGACAAGGCCAACTTGATACAAGCAAGATTTGAAAAAGTAAGTCTGTTGGTCATGGAAGTCCGCCATGATAAACCATCAAACAATATTTTGATGAAGGTTAAAAAAATAGATAAATAAAAACGACAGGTCATCAGTCAACAAGATAAGACTGTTGAGCACAGGATCGAATTTTCGTTTTCTCCTCTACAACTGTTGGGCAGAATCGGTAGAATAAAAATTTGCTTGCGCACAACTAGTTTCTTCGCTCATCGCGTAAACACTACCTCTAATGTTGCTGGGAAATACGCGATGTTCTCAAACAATGAAATATGAACTTTCCTTCTACCGCTGGCCAGGTATCTACTGTACGATGTACGTTGTATTTATCCACCTCAAAGTCATTGCTTGAGCTGTCTGTACAGTGCAGGGCTCAAATGAGAAACGTTAGTTTGCGTGCAAATAAGTAATTATTTACCTCTTGTTGCGCACCCGACGAACTTTCTACGCAACTTAATGTACGTGGGACAAAATACGCAGTATACGTATCAGCTGCATGTGTGGCAGATCTAAAGCTATCTACAGAAAAAAGTCTGCTCAAGTGCTTGCATGCGAACCCAGGAAAAATGCTTGCACAAGTACATATTCCTTTCTCTGCACCTTTTTATTATGACTGATTTTGTTGTTTTTATAGGAAACTCAAGAACTTCAGCGCAAACAGAGTTGGTATCAACAAAACCAGGTTTCAATGACTAAAGAAGATGAGGAGGAATATCTCAACTACTGCAGTGAAGCTATGTTCAGGATACACATCTTAGAACAGAGACTCAACAGGTAACCACGTCCTACTTATAACTTATAAAAGTAGTGAACCCATTGCTATAATGAAAATTGGAAGTAACTTTTAATTAAACCAACCCTGAATGTCCAATCAGACTCAGTGAAAGGAAAACTTTTTGTTAGAATATGTACATATATTTACTTTGTCATACATGACAAGATGTCATCGAAACGTCCAGCAATTCCTGCGTTTATTTTCTTAATCAAACTTTTAATTCATCTGTTTATTTCCAGACACAAAGAACTAGCACCACAGAAATACATGCAGTTGGAGCATAAACTGAGAACTGACCCAAGACTTGCCGAACACTTTTATTGAGTCATGAGTAAACTCACGGCATTAATTCTGTGTCATTTTTGACAACAATATTTACATCAAGACAGGCAAGATTTGGAAGAATGTTGTGTATATTGTTTATGAGATTGTAAAATTATTTTATTATTGTTTATAAAAAAAGTTAATTTGAATTGTCCTATGTAATAACAATTAATAAAAGAATTATTACTGACTTGAAAATGTTCATATTATTTGTTAAATAGAGGGGTAAAACGAAAAGGAAAACAAAACACTTAAAAAAACTCTCATTAGGTGTTGACTAGATCCTTTAGGGCATCAATTGCTATGGGAGGTTAATAGTCCCCTTCACAGTTCCCTACACCATCTTGAAAGGTAGTTGTGCCTTTACATAGAAGCGAGACAATCTTGTGATGATAGAGACGCGAATAATTGTTCAAGGTGTTAAAAAGGTCAATCATTGGAAGTATTGGAAGTTTGTCTCGCCTCAATGCAAAGGCAAGGCTACCTTTCAAGTTGTCGTAGGGAACTATGAAAGGGACTATTTTTTAGAATGAAATTACCAGATGTTTAGTTCTAGCTATCACACATTTTGATTGGCACTAGCAATTGCTCTATTTATAAATACGAATAGTCTTTGCAAGCTTGAAAGATTCCCTGCTGTACAAGATTACATTCGTAGTTTTATTCAGCTTTTTGATTGATCATCATATTTAGCTCCTTCAGTATTCAGTTTCTTTTTATATTCATCATAGATTTTCTTTCTGGAGAAGTACTTTACCTGGTTTAAAACAGAAAAATAACATTTAGTTTTTGGTACACCTTTGTAGAGGTAGTATGACTACATTCTTTGTCATTTGGCAGTAATCAGAGGACAGCCAAAACTGCAGGTTAATTAATATATCAGGCCAAAATTAGTCATAACGATCAAACTTTTTTTATTTTATTTATAAAGTGATATAACTTAACCACTCTGAGGTGAACGGAAAGCCTTTTAGGTCTAGGTCCTAATTACGAGGCCACCGATAAATCAAATTTGAATTTGAAAGTTGATTTTTGTGGAGGGAGGTTAACTCATAGTTAATAGTTAACTGGAGAACCTGGAGAAAAACCCTCAAAGTACAGGAGAGAATCAACAAACAACTCTACTCACATACAACGCTGACCCAACCAAAGGGCGTATCCAGGGGGCAAAGGGGGGATCAAAAAAAACAACAAACAAACAAACAAAACTGAAGAATTAGATGCTTTTTTTATTGTTTTCCGTTGTGTTGATGGAAGAAACTCAATTAACCCTCCCCTAAACTCAATTAGCCCCCCCCCCCCCTAAAATTTTGGCTGGATCTGCCCTTGCAACCAATACTTAAAATCAATCATTTAGTAATCATTTAATATTTCTATTGTCTATTTTCCATTGGACGATGCTTGCATGTGCATAGTTAGTTAGAAATTAGTCCAAAATCTGGAATTTTATAGACTGGACTGAACATCAGTTGACTGGTTCCTGCATTGAAAATTTTCATTTATTTAATTTTAAGCTTTTGAATATAATATGGAAAATCTAAATATATAGTAAAAGCATGTCCAACCTCTAAAATTTGATTTATGCTTTAAAATTTTGTCTTGAGAGATTTTTTTAAATTGAAAAATAAGGAATCATGCAGTTGGACTGAACTGGACTTCAGCTGACTGGACCTTGGATTGCAAAAAAAAATTTCATCAATTTTTTAGCTTGAAAATGGGTATGGAAAATCCTTATGCATAGTAAGGACATCTCCAACCTCTAAAATTTGCTTTATGCCTTTAGATTTTGAATTTTGAGCAATTTTCTATTTTTGGAAAATCAGGAACCGTGCATGGGTGGACTGGATTGGACTTCGATTAACTGGATCTCCGGATCGGGGAACGTTTTTTTCGCCGAATTTCCAGCTTTTATCCTACATGTTTTATCTAAATATCTATAATTAGTAATTTTAAGCAGAAATTGTGCCAAAAAACTAAGATTTTAATTTTTTCAGATATGGAAATTATATTGGATTATAGATGAGAAAATTGTGCTTCTTGTCTGGCCATCCCCCATCCGTCAAACACTTTAATACTTTTGAAACTTGCATGTGTTTCCAATGTCCATTGAGTGTGGTGAAGACAATGTTTTCTTTGATCTGCTATTGCACTTAATTGACACAAAGAACCAGTGGTTACCAAAACCACCTCACCCAGCTCCCCTTGGTATAATTTTTAACTCCCCTCACCCTTGAGTAGGTTTAAATTTATTATGAACTTCTTGGAGTTGAGGAAGGGGAGCAGCTAAAAGTTCACTGTAGTTAAGGGTAACACCTCCCCCCTAAGACATGGGGTAGGTGAAGATTGGGGCTAGGGGGTGATGGCATTGCTAATCAGCTTGATTGACATGATGATACTAATATTAAAATATACAATAACACGATATCTTACCCAAGAAGCAGGGCATGTTTTATGGAACAATTCTTTTTCCTTCACGCAGGCAGACTCATCACCGCCATTCGAATCAACACAAGCAAAATACTTGTCTCTTGAGTCATGACAGACCTTTCTTTCCTCACCCGTCGGCGCAGGCATATTAATTCAACTCTTCCACACAAAACCCTAGCAATATCCTTTTCCTTTAGTCTTATACTTTCGTATTTTATCGTTTAGTTGTTGGTAAAAATTGTTCTTTTTGTCAGAAGTTCTCATCAGCTTGACCTGTCCGCCATGTTGTGACGTAACATCATTGTGCTGAGTGACCGCGCAATAAGGGACGGCAAAGCATTTTGGGATTGTAATGGTCGTTATTGCCCGCTAAAATACAAATACTAACTTTTTGACACTGAACATTAAAAGCTGGTATTCCACTTCTGAACGGTGAGATCATACGACTTTTTTAAAGCATGGTGATACAATGGACTATAGAGAATCTTCCTAACGCATTCGCTTTGAAATCGGATGAAATTTAAGAGATAATTTAGACAAGTTTGTTGGCTGTCTTGGTGGAAGTTGATCAGACTGTCAGCCATGGACAATAGAGCAGACGACGATCTAATCGTTGCTTCACGTCGACTAGTATTTCGTGGTATTGAGTATGTTGTTACACTAGTAGTTAATAAGGAGGAGAATCAGTTTTCTCTGGAGGTAGAAGATCGACTCACTGCAGACCAATGGAGAGGGCAGTTTGATGCCAAATGTAAGTACATTCCGATACATGAAAAATGATGATTAGAAGATGTACAAAAATAAAGTAATGTTGAAAGATATAGAGTTAATACTTCTTTATTGGAAGAGCTATTTGTTAGAGGATTCCTTATTATTGATTCGTAATAAGCTTTAGTATTGAATACCTTATTTTGTTTTGCAGATATTGAGGATCTCACACACAAGACTGGGAACTTCAAGCAGTTCTCGATATTTGTGAACATGCTGGAATCAGCATTGACAAAGGTTTGTGTTTTGACCTGTTATCATCATCATTATCCTCTATGCCTGTGTGGCACGTGGCACCAAGGACTTCAATGGTTATCCTTTGTGTTGGTTTGCATAGCAATAAGTAATATGTAATGGGGTTGCTGGACCCATGCACATTGCCAGAGCCCTGTTAGCCAGCTTAACCTGTTACCACCTCCCATGACGATGACAGAGGGATGGAACACATTACGCTTTTGGTACCGTAAAATCCTGGTTATAAGTCCCTCTGGTTATAAGCAGTCCTAGTTATATGTCCATAAAAAAACCTTATGAATGATTATAAGCCCAGGGCCCATACAGTAACTGGAATTTTACTGTACATGATACTGATAGTTTTTAATATGAGTGGGAAATATACGGTCCTGACTTACATCAGGTACATGGTACGACATACTGTAACATTGAAATGACTTCCCATAAGAATGGTAATCAAATGAGTGGGATATATATATATGGTACTGACCCTACAGCATGTATGTGGTATGACATGCCATAACACTGAAATGACTTCCCATAAGAATGGTAATCAAATGAGTGGGATATATATATGGTACTGACCTACAGAACATACGTGGTATGACATGCAATAACACTGAAATGACTTCCCATAAGAATGTTAATCAAATGAGTGGGAAGTATATGGTACACACTTACAATATGTACATGTCACGAGATGCTGTGATATGAAAACCATTCTACTAGATTTTTACCTTAATGGATAAATTTCAATTTGTTATAGTTCTATTATCATCATGATTATTGCTATTATTGTGGTGTTAATGGTGCTGATGATGATTTTCTTTAACAGGGTAGTCATGCGGTAATGCTAGACCTGTTAACATACAGTGATCTTGAGGTGCTCAGGAATAAAAGAACTCAGAAGCCAGGTTCTGGAACCCAACACATTCCTCCTGCTAAAACCAACTCCAACCTGCATTCCAAGAGATATTTAATTTTGACTTATTCAGTAGAATTTGATAGGTAAGTTTAGTTCTCCCTTCACTCACCTCTTACCTCTGAGATCTTGAACTTGCCATCATGTGAGTCAAGTTTGATTCAAGGATATTTTCCAGGTTCTCTGGGTTTCCTCTCTCTGCAAAGCCTAACGAAAATCTGTGAATTAGCCATTTTTTTAGCCATTTCTCCATGAGTTGGCACCCTTTTAATGATTGTGTGAAAGAAAATTATCAAAGGATGCTGACACATGAAGAAAGGAATGCAGACTAAAAGTTTGATGTTTGTGGGTTGAGCTGTGTGCGTTTGGAGGCATGAATGTGGCATGTTTTTCTGGCATCTGTAGTAACCACATATAAGGTGTTTACATAGGGGATGAAACACTCTTTCGTGTGTTTGATGTGGCTTCTCAAACTGTAAATATTGTAAAGGTTGAAGTGGTTGCCTTGTAAAGGAAAAGTTTAATGCAAAAATAATAAAAAACACATATTTTTCTATATAGGATTCATTATCCATTACCTTTACCTTATGTCGGTAAGCCTGACCCAGTCCAACTGCAAGAGACAATCAGGAGACTGAATGAAGAAAACAAGGCCTTGAGAGATCAGGTATTTCAAGAAATTAAACCGATTTTTTTTCTGGATTGGAAATATTGTAACATATTTTTTATTACCTGATTTTCTATAAGTTGATGAAAAATTCAAGAAATGGTGTGAACCTTCACTTACAAAAAGAGTAAGTAATATATACATCTTGGTCTTCCTGTAGATTCATTAATGAGAGAGACTAAGTTCTTTTTCCATAGGGATCCCAATATGAACTTTTGAGGGTGAACTTATTTGAGTTTGTATCTATTTTTAGGGTTGAAAAAGCTATAACTGAAAGAGATGAAATTCAAGCACAATTTGAAATATTCAAAAGAGAAATTAAACACGCGGAAAAAGCAAATACGGCTAAAGAAATCCGAGTACTGAAAAAAGTGGTCCAAAATCTGGAGGTATAAAAACTATATTAGAGAGTTTTAGATTTACGTTCACGGCAAACGCGAAACGTCAGTTGACCAGTAAAAAATCATTTTAAATTACTGAAAACGAATCGCAAAAAAGTCCAAGTAGTAGAAAAACAAAAGAGTATTTGCTCCTGGTGAGAAGGTTTGCAAAAGGTAAAGTAAAATACAGGAAAACTATGAAAACGTGGTCACGTTTGCCGTTTGCGGGAAGAAAAAAAGTCAATCTAAAACTCTCTATTATTTGATTTAAAACCTTTTCCACATCATCTTCAAACAAGATTTTCACTCATCTTAAATCTCCAACACAGAGTGACCTGATGAAGGAGAAAAGCAAGTATCAAAGGACTTTGAATAAAAAGACTCAGGAATATCGAGGTGTCGTTGATGAGGTGTGGTCTTTATCACAAGTCATTTTATGAATGCCATTTTATTGTGTCCCAGTGGGTTGGTCAGTTGTTTGCAAGGTCGAAAGACAGGCTCTTACTTCCATCCCTCTTCATATCTTTTTTTATCCCGTATGGCGTATATTAACAAGGAAGTATCTTATCTGTTGCAGTTAGAGGAGGTGCGTGCAAGTGAACGAAACCTTCGCGCAAGATGTCGAAGTTTAACCAATRAATTAGCAGTGTATAAAAGAGGGTAATTCCTGACCAACCATTTCTTACGTTCTGCTATTAATTCCAGATAAATATTGAAAATTCCTTCAAATACTTGATATCTGTTTATTATCTTGAAGGTCCCGAGCTTCTCCAGCTTCAAGTAGCATTTCGATAAAGAGAAGTGCATCTCGGAATTCCCAATCACGTGATCGTCGTTCTACTTCACGTGATCGTCGCTCTACTTCGCGGGATCCTCGTTCTACTTCGCGGGATCGTTTATCAGACATGCAGAATCGACGATCGACTTCACTTGAACGTCGATCTGCTTCACGAGATCGAATAACGTCGACGCGGAGACGGATACCTTCTCCCGCAGGTACTGGTTTCCTAGGTAACGGCAACCCCTTTGAAAGGTGCCACTATGTGTTTCCACTCAAAACATCCTGGAAAGTCTGTCTCTGCTTTTGCCGTTTATATAATTAATTCAAATGACCTTTGTTTATTATTAATTTTTTATTTTCAGGTCCTCGTCCACCACGATTTGACCCAACAGCGTATCCTTTACTTAAAAGCACTTTTTTGCGATTGCATGTCTTCCAATGTCTCCCAAAAGTAGAATGATATTTCGGGAACGATACTGGACTTAGATGTTCATTTCTGTTGGTTTGCGACACACCTTCATAGTCTGTATAGTCCGTACCATGGCTGTAAAATGAGACGACGGGTAACGCGCAATATCGCTGATCATAGGACACGGCACGGTCACGTGATTGAGTAACCAAGGATAATTGGGTCTCTAGGTGTTTTTCCCTTGAGGTTCCCGGGTCTTCTAGCTTGTAAATAGAATGATCTTTGACTTGTACTAGATACGTGAAAGAAAAACAGCGTAAARTAACAGAAGCTGAAGAAATGCGAGGGTAAGTAAAGAAAAACGGACTTCAGTTTGTATATTATCGAATCATAATTACCATAGTAGGAATGTTCAATTTAATAGACGGAGGAGAACAAGGTCRAATGGGTCCCTGACGCGAGGCCGTTCAAGGTCCCTGTCCACAGAGCGTACCTCCAGATTGGTACCATCAGCAGATAAAGGACTCAAAAAAGGTACTAAATCAATCAATCTATTTGTACCTGTAGAACTGAATTACCGTACAAGGCTATTATTTATTATGTTTTCCTTAGGGTTACAGAGAACCTCCTCGATCGGGAGCCTGGGCAGCAGACGGTCGTCCCAGTCTTCTATTGACGGTGCGCTGTCAGATCATTCCAACAGTTCAAGACGGAAAAGAACAACGAAGTAAGTCAAGAAATCATTTGATCACCTGCATCTTTTGAGAGAATTTTGAAATCCCGAAATCATTGAAACGACAAAGCTATGTAGAGACCTAAATGGATAACTGGTACACTATCTTGAATATCCCCCTAGGAAAAAAAACACTAGCAGTTCTAAGCTAATGTGCTTTCCTTTTCTCAGAACAAAGAAGAAACAGCAACCTTCAGGAAAGGAAAACAGAAAGACTCACGTCTTGTCCAGCCCGGAAGCCTCGGATGTGGTACAGTATGATATTATATTTGATATTCAATAGTATTCAAGTAAAGACTAACTGTTCTATTGATTGTAGGGGAGCTACAAAGACCTACGGATAACCAATGCATTGTATCCTTTTTATCTCTTTGATTTATTTGTGCTATTGGTCTGTTATGAATACAATTACCTTAGCGTATCATGGGTGCATAATTAGATAAACACAGGCTACCATACCTTGTAAATGCACCTTGACAATACGGCTCAGATATTCCAGTACACCAGAGAATGGTAGAACTCACTCTCGCACGAAGACAAAGCATCGTCACACGAAATCTAGTCGTTTACCGCCACGCGGTGAGTCTACAGACGAGAAATAGTTTGTTTTGACGTCTGGAAGACAAGTTAGTAAATCTTTCAAAGATGGAAGTCAAAAACGAAGACACCTTAGATACTTTTTTAGTTATACAATTATGACAAGCTAGTAACATATTAATGATAAAATACTTTACTTCTTGTACAGAAATCGAAGATTCTTTCAACCGTTCTGCAGAGATGATGGAGATTGACGCACGTCTAAACGCATTGCAGCACTTCATGAAAGCCAATTTACAGTAATAGGATGTAACCAATCACAAACACCCACACAGACCACGTGATTAACTGATCCCAACATCACTCTTGTATAATAAATCCGCCAATAGCACACCATATTCAAATCTTTAGGAGACGGGTGGGAGACTGGTACTAATGGTCATGGAAATGAGGCTGGTTGTCTTTCCCTTATAAGGCATTACATTTCTGTTACGGATCTATTTTATTCTGGTCATTTTCTATGTACAAAACAACAACAACAACAACAACAAAAACAACACACAAATGATAACTTACTTTAGTTTTCTCTTTTTGGACCCCTTCCAGGACGTCGGAATGCCGTTCAATTTGGAGGACATAACATTAGGTTTCCAATTCTCAGGAGATTGAAATTCTTTCGTTTTGTCCTCCAAATTCAGCTGATTTGTCGTCACATGCAAGGGGTCTCTTACACTGTTTTTCACACTCTGGGACGACTGGCCTCTTTTTCAAGTTCATTACTGTCATTACCTCCCATCAGCTTTTACAGAAATGAATATGATATATAACCATGTAGTTTAATTTAAAATAATACCAGCGTTATTATTCCTATTACAAACAGTTTCAACATATTTTCATTTTTTTAACGAAAAATTATTTTAATACATATAAATTGTTTTTAATTGACCAAAACCCATCTATATTTTACTGTAGTATTATAAAGTCTTTGTACATATCTGGTTTACTTTTATATATCATTAATAAAATTATATAGTAGTAGTAATAATATGTATAATTAATATGTAGTAGTTACGTTTATCGAAATGGGTTTGGCCTCTCCCTTGATTGAGTGCCCTGACTTTGATCAGCCCAGATGTTGTTTCAGGTTTAACAAACCTACTGGGACTCACAACACTGTTTATTCCCAGAAATAAGCGCAAAGCCRGTAAGTATTCTAGTATTACGTGGAGAACATGCACCTTAAGGGATAAAATCTTGTTACACGAGCTTAAGTGCCAATCGATCAACCCTATAGGATCTCTTCCTGGTTTCAAAGCCCTTAATTTTATCTTGGATGACCGAGTTGAGGACTGGGTACGAGCTTGATAAGTATTTATTTAAAAACCCACCATTATTTCGATGTTTGAAGTATATTTATTAATGGAAATGATAATAGCAAACAGTACTAGCCATTTGGAATCAAAAATATGAATTTTAAAAAGAATATCGGCCAAAAAACCACATTTTTAAGATATTGACCACAGGGAGCCCATAACTGTTTTTGTCAGAAAATTAAAGTCCAATTAATATGGAATCCTGACTAGATTGAAATGTGCACCGGTCCTAATATTGATTACCATACTCTAATCTACATTATGCATATTTTGGTGCTTTTGTCCGCTGTGTATATATCTGGACAAAATTTTGCACCTAGCCACCTGGGCCTAGCCTGCGTGCCTCCGAACGTTTTAAATGGGCCGGGTTGTTCAAAGCTGGATTAGCGCTAATCCAGGATTAACTCTATAGGTCTCATTAAGAGTTAACCCAGGATTAGCAATAATCGGGCTTTGAACAACTGGGCCCAGACTAAAATACCTAACCATTAGGAGATCGTTACTTGAAATACCTAACCATTAGGAGATCGTTACTTGCAATACCTAACCATTAGGAGAT